AGATTGGATCACATGCTTCAGATTGGATCACAAGCAGCAACTTGAGTCACTTAGAGTCAATGAGTCACTCGTCTTTTGAGCGCATTCCATTCGACAAAGAATGTAAGAGCTCTGTAGAGGAAGTCCTCATAGAGAAATAGATGCTCTTCTAGCACCAGGGTACACAATCCGTATGTGGGAAGTACTTCTTCAATCCAACTACCAAAGAAGCCCCCGCCCCCACCCCCAGGAAATGTCGTGAGGCAGGGATTCTCCGAGTCCTGCGGTCAGAAACAGCAAAACTGCCGTTCCTTAGAGGTGGTAATGTAACCTTTAATGAAGCCCTGTTAAGCTTGGTATTGAAATAGGAGTCATGCTCATCCTTGAAGATGTTCTGTTAGTCCTTAAACACTTCGACTGAAACTTAGTCCGCCAGGGCACGTTCCGCCATTCGGGAGAAATCCTGCAGAATACGACCCCCCCCCTTCGAGGACTTCTTCTGTAGTACGGCCACCCTTTCGCATCGTATCTACCACCTTTCTGAATCCTCATAACTTCCTACCACTTTTCCCGAACGACGAGAAGAGACACGAGAAGAGAACGAGAACCCGACGAGAACGTCCCACACACCTTAGCATTTCCGGCACACTATCAGAGAACTAACAGAACAAAAGAGCAGGAGTGCTAAGCCTTGATTCAAGCTTAGGCATACCCAGGCAGCCTATTTCCGAGGACACACATGGTGTGTCAAACATTTTTCTCTCTAAGCTGTTTTATGTGGTCTATTTAGCATCTATTTCAGTTCTAAAGTTATCAGAACACGTTTCTGAATAGGAAAATTCATATTTTACTGGAAAAAGGAAAATTCATATTTCACTAGAGAAAGAAAAAACAGATGAAATTACTTATATCGATGTAAAAAGTTACGAAATGATATGGAAATCATCATGAAACGGCGGCCCGCAATGTTCAAAGTGTTCCACTCTTCAACAACCTCGTTGACACAGCGGAAAAGAGAAAGATTGAATGCTTTCTTTGTAAGTTATAAAGAAAAGTTCAAATGATTCGAACATTCTAGGAGCTATTAGGTGACGAAATTGTTTCCGCTCAAACACTGGAACGATTAAAGGCCATGGGCACGATAATTCGGTTGTGGGTATGCGTAGGCTGGATACGTGAGGTGGACAAATCAAGGTGCCTAGAGCGGAAGGATCTGTGATGGTTTCATGTGATGAAGGGCGCGCTCTGAGCAATGCAATCGGGCCCCAGATGTTCCAGTTCACCTTAAAATGGACGATTAGCGGGAGTGAATGAAACACTTGTGCATCGGCCGACCCGCTGAAAGTCCAGATGGACCAGGTCATTTTTTAAAGCCCCCACGCTTCCGACTGAAGAACCGAATACTTGCTGGGCAATTCTGAAAAGGATAGATCGAACAACTATAGCTAACATTGCGTGCCTCTGTGCTGCATAGTTCGTTGTGTCTTATAGAATCGAGTACAACTCCTATTAACACCATAGTTACATCTGCTTATCACCTGGAACGCGTGTAGCTGTATCAACTGGCATAAGAAAGATACCTCGATATATTTCGACCCTGAGAAATCTATATACTGTCAACTTGCTCACTGCTCGGCAAAAAGGGACATGACAGCTGTGTCAAAGTGAAGATATTCTAAAAAGAGCCACCTTCCGTTTATTGAAATTATGTAGCCACCGCCTACACCTCTCAGGATTCGCGTGATCATGCTGTCTCCCTTCCTAAGTCAAGAGGTAGTGTGGACTGCTACGAACAGCTTCTCATGCCAGAAAGTGGTAAGTCAGCGTTCATACTTTGCGGCACGTTCACCAGCGTCCAATAGCGTACACGCCTCTACTAGCTCTGTCACGTCAACTAACTAGAAAGTTATATCCTCGCCCTACGTATAGTCAGCGTCCCATATAATGTTCAACCAAGCGTAGAGAGTGTGGAGAGGTAGGAAGGTAGCAAACAACTGGATTAGACGTCGTGAAATTGCGGCGTCTGCAACCGCACAACGAAACTGCACCGTATATCAAATTGCATAATTCTGTGCTTTAATAGTTGTGCGGTGCGGTTGCACACGCCACAATTTCACGACACCTAATCCAGCTGTTTGCTACCCTCCTACTTTCCCATACTCTTCAATCCCAGTCGCCGGTGAACGCTGGCGCGCTGGTAGACGCTATGGACGCTGCCGCAAAGTATGAACCCAGTCCAAGTTCTAGGAGTCACAAGTTTGCTCAAGTGATTCAGCCAGCATTCATGTATGTCATGTCTGTGTCTTGCCCCTCTCTTGCTGCTTTGTCTGGACTCTTCGTCTCTCGCATGGCATAAGTAGGGCCTTACTCGAAGCTTTTTTGAGAGCTTCCTTTTATTTTTTTCGTGAGCACGTCAACTAGCATACACACTTTTGTTTTTGTCCCCGCTACGCAAAAACTTTCGCTGGCTCATTGCCAAGCCTGCCTTCGAAAACTCCAGGCCGATTTCAACCGCAACGCTTGGTTGATTATACCAACTGCAAGGCCTGTACATCCATCACTATCATAAGAACCAAATTCCAATAAAAGCCTCCCAATTTCCCAACGGTTCCTTTTCACCATTGGAAACTGGGAGGAAAAAGGACCTTCTCTTGTCTGGGAGAAAAATTGCCTTTCAAAATTACTTGCCTACACCGAACGCACGCGTGAATTCAGGCCCCCGCTCAGCCAGTTCGTAGAATTCCTTCCTTGCCCAGGTGGTCCGGTGCTCCATCAGATTGTCGCAGCCTCGTGGAGCCACGAACTGGGCAAGGAAGGAGCCTTACGAATTGGTGGAGCGTGAGGTCTGGCTTGGAATGTTTCCAACTTTCAGACAGAGTCGTACCCACGGCGAATTCGGAGAGGATCCAACAGTGCTGCTCACTTCATGCATCTTCGTCTTCCCTTCAGTTATTCTTTGTGAAAATTTTTCTTCTTGAAAATAGATCAGCAGAGATGTTCAAGAAATCAATTTATTCAAGAATATTGCTCTTTATTGCACCAAGACAACAGCAATACATTATGCATGCCAGTAGAAACGGTTGAAATATCGCCGTAGTCTGAGGGCAGAGTTAGTTGCTCTTGAGTGCAATGTGGGGAGCGGAATAGCAGGAGAGGCTATTTCGGGCAAAGATGGTGGAACAGGTGCCCCATTCAACAAAGTGGGAGGTACCGGTGCCGACTCAGGCACTGCTACCGTTACTTGTGGTGTTGCAGTTGGTACAGTAGGTGCCACACTAGGGGGAGAAGCGCCTTCAGTCACTGACCCACTGGTAACATCAGCCCCAGTCGGCAAAGTTTTGACTACATCGGGTCCTACAACGTTACCAGTAAGAAGGGTGTCTGTGTGTTCCTCGGTAACAACTCCTTTTCCTACGTTCACCGGCCCGAGGTCACCTTTGCCTTCTCCAGAACCCTCCGGCTCGATGAGTTCCCTTTTGCCTACAACGGCTGCGGATGCCGATGCAGCTCCTGTTGCAACCAGCATAGATCTTGGTGGACAAGGACAGTAGGCAGCATCTGCTCCGGGTGCACCATTTGCTCCTGCGGGCCCAGGAGCACCAGGAGCTCCTGGTGTACCGTCATTTCCTGGACGTCCAGGGGGACCTGCTGGGCCAGGTGCTCCTGCAGAGCTACTTCCATTCTGCAATCGAATTTCGATTCAAGGTTGCAATAACGAAACTCTACGAAAAACAAACCTCTCCGTTGCGGCCAGGCGGTCCCTGAGGTCCAGGAGCTCCGGCGGGTCCCGGCAGGTTTCTAGTTCTCACTCCATTCGCTCCTGTGAAAAATAAAAGTAGTAGCAAGCAAGTTACTTCAGAAAAGGCCGAAGTAGAGAGTAATGTAGTGATAAATGGAGTTGTTGTCTGAAGGACTACTATTACCATCTGCTCCAGGAGATCCAGCCGATCCCGGGTTTCCGTCTGCGCCCCGTATTCCAGGAGGACCAGCAGGTCCAGGAGCGCCAGCACCGCCACCCGATCCATCCTAAAGACATCTGTTTAAGAGATTCACTATGAATGATCCGTGAAGAACGCTTACAGCTCCAGGATTTCCTGGCGATCCTGGGGATCCCGCTGGACCGTCAGGACCTGGTGGACCAGGAGGTCCTTGAGGACACTTAATACAGCCGCCCATCATGTGCTGAGCCATTACTTGCATGCCGTTTCTACCCGGTACACCGTTCTCACCATTGGCGCCGTCTTCTGGAAACAAAAACGTTTCAGTTAGTCAGTGGACGGCTGAGAGGGATTATGAAGATCCATAACTAACCTCCAGGCGCTCCGGGTGCTCCAGGTGGTCCAGGAGGTCCAGGCGGACATGCTCTAGGACTGCGCTTGGCACTCTTAACATAGTTAGACATCTTCGCATATCTTTAAAGTGAGTAAAAAGTTGGAAACATGGAAACTAACCGCATGTAAATTGATCGTATCCACCTTCACCAGAGGACTCAGACTTAGCCGCTTGAACTCCGCTATCGGGTTGTACTTCGACACCAGATGGTGGTATCTGATAGCCGGCTCCACGGCGGGTTCGTGCCACCATAACGTCAAAGGGTTGACGGTTTCCACCAGTTGTTCGGATCATATGCTTCCAAGCGTCGTCGGCATAGCCCTGAAATTTGGTTAATTTTTGGATCTGTTTGAAGTCACCTGCTACAAAAGGGGTGAACAGTCATAAGGACACGTCAGGATGGGTGTTAATTACCACACCACCCACTTTGAACTCATTCAAGTCAGTGATGACATCGTCATAGAACGAGTTGATGTCGGACAGCAACGAAACGGTCAAGAACAGGGCAGCAGCTATTGCTATTGCTGATCCGCCACAGGTGGCCGCCAGCACTGAGCGTTGTAAGCTCATCCTGAAATTGATGAAAGTTGGTTTGTTCACAGATTAGAATTATAGAGGCCAAGATATCTTCGTAAGTAAGAGGGTTCGCACTTCAAAAAATCTATCACTCGATTATTTCCAGCACCTATAGACACAGGTTTCAAGCTGTTATTGTTGCAACTGCCCGGTAAGCAGAAAATGCGGGTTCGAATCCCGCCCGTGGTCCGACTTTTGCCCACAACTCAGCATTCTTGTGATAGACACAGGTTTGTTTGTTTGTTGTAACGTGGCAGAGCTAGGGCCAGCTAACCAGCAAAGGCCAAAGCTTTCGTTAGAGATATAACCACTTTTGGCCCCGGCATCCTCCTTGGGGCAAGTCATTTCATAAGCCTAGAATTGTAGCTATTTCAACCGATTGGATACAACATTTCCAGTCACTTCTCGTTTTGTCTCCAAAAAAGTTCTTCTGTTGGACTACGCGCACCCTGAGAAACCCTGCTCTTACAGTTTATGAGGTGAAGCGGCATTTCAAGCGTCACTGAACACTGGGTGAAGAGCACTTGACCACTCTAACCAGCAAGCCAGGCTTCGTGTATAGATTTCCTTCCCTCAAAGCCAGTAGGACTCACACTGATGACCCGATCTCACCACTGAACTTGAATGGTGAACCTAAACTTCCGGGCAAGCCTGAGAGCGCTCAATTCTCAGCCGTTCTTGGTGTGCTTCAGTCGTACGACTAGCCGGTGGCTTCTACGGCTAGATCGTTTGCAGCGCGCTGCAGGCATTCGAAATAGGTATTCATCTGACTGTGACAGAACTTGGCAGCTGCAGCGTTCAACGATTGGCGGTGGAGCACGGTCAGTCACCTTACTGAATGGCTCGAGTGGCGAAGTATGAAAGCAGCTTGGACGCTTATAAATGTTAGGCCGCAAGTTGGCTGACAAAGGAAAGGGGGGGGGGGGCGGGTGGTTCTCAGTATCGCCAGTTCACGTACTTCTGGTTATACACCGTCCTCACTCTGGTGAAACTTGTCCACTCTGAAGATGGAGCAAGCTCGTCAAGCCACCATATTAAAGCCCGTCATTTCGTTTAAGCTCACGAAATGGCTCTCTAGATGAGTCGATCCATCGATGGGAAGTGCAGTGCAAAAAGCGAAATGCCCCACCCCCTCCCTCGACGAACCGTCCAAATTTTATTACACTGGTCCAAACAAGAACGGGGCATTCATGAGTGATTGTTAGTAGAGATATAGTGAAGAATGTGAGGTTCTCTGCGGACAAAGTCATCGCATCGAACCTATTGCGCAGATAACGGGCTGCTTAGACGAGTAACCAGTTTGGCTCTCAGAAAGCTTCGTAGGTGAAATAGTAATTCTATGAACCAGAAGCTTTGCTTAAAAGGGAACGTTGGGGGGGGGGGAGGGTTCAAGAGGAAAAGTCAAAAGCAAGAGAGATAGCTGTGATGACGAAAGGGAGCCTAGAGATGGAACCCTACTGAGAACGGGACGGCTCATAATAACCCCAGATTGCGTTCCGTTTCCAATTAGCCGTTATCAAAAAATACAGGGAAAATGAAAAGGGTGGGGGGGGGGAGGGTGGATTTTTCCAATTAACGCAAAAAACGGCCACAAATGAGCTATCTTACGAAGGTACAATTCTATGATGCCCACTAAGCACTAAAACGTTCGCGTTGCCTGTTCCACAGAGATTTGGCGCATTCGAGACACGGAGGAGGGCTAAGAGACTCTAAGAGGAACAAGCTATGAAAAGAGACCAAAAGTAGTTGTGACACAACCACTAGTAGCTATCGCCTGATGTCAGCCTTAAATAGCGGATTGTGTGCGAAACCTGTCGTGTCTCCGAGACCGATCACGTTACCATTCACCAACTTGTTTGACAGTCGCGCCAAGTTAGCCCTGCATATCTCATTATGAGAGGATTAATCATTGTTAAAGCTATAAGGTCATATTGGACCGTTCCCACGCGTAAAAGCTAGTAATCCACTTCTACATGTTATTCACACAATGTGGATGACGCCTTTGTCCTGCTCGGACATGGGATCGGCTTAACAACGAAACTTGTCGCAGTACTGACAAAAATAATTCAGGTCCAATCCATCTTGGCCGCTGTTTAGTGAACATAAAGTATAAGTAGTACAACAAATGTAAAATACCCAACCCTAAAAATGCAAAAAAAGGTGCAGTAAGCGAGGCACAGACGATCGCACACACCGATGATGGTGTTACTCTATCTTGAGATGTGGCAAACAATCCGGTTCTCGATCACAAAGTGCTGAATAGGGCAAAAGTCTAAACCCCAGGTGGGCAGTTCTAGCCCGCAACGCTCACGCTACCGGGAAGAGTGCGCTTATCCGCGCTACAGCTGGTAGTGGTTCTTCTGTTTTGTTGACGAACGTAGTTTTTTTTTTTTTGGCTGACGCTTGTCGTATGTGCTTGGGAAGACTCTTTTGCTCGTCCTTACTGGTAGAGTGTTTCGAAGGCTTCTTAGTACATGCCCATCTCTGCACTAAATGAAGGTAATACGAAGTTTGAAAAGGGGTCAATAGAAGCACTGCCCGTTGAATAGATCAAATCAATTTACAACTGTAAGGCCATCTTACTTCGAGGCGTAAGGCACGATAAATTGGTAGTTGGTCTAAAATGGCAGCAGGAATGCTGTTCAGCGGGACAATGGCGAGAAAACGATATGAAACGGTCGAAAACCTGTGAACAAGCTTCTCTTCTACACGACTCAGTAAGCAATTTCGGACGAGTTTCCCGTTGGCATCATGCCAGTAATCGCTACGATAGATACGGCTGCATGTATGTACTCATATATCCCCAATCCCTTCGTTTATGTTGTACGTGTTGTGTCGCAAATGAGCGATACGAATGTCAGCATCGGTCCGACATTTATAGGTGGATAACCACTGCACCACCGTGGCAGCTTTCTACCTACTCACTAACAGCTCAAAGGCAGTTGACACGATAAATCCCTAAGACGACTAGGACTAATACGGCTGGCATGGCAGAATTCCCTGAACAGGCGCTGCGTAGTGCCTTTCTCAAGGAGGGTACCCTTATAGCGCCCTATTGAGCAGCAACATACCGACCCGGACGCCCACCTCGCCCGCCCGCCTACCATTGGACGTATAGCATCACAGCACGAGGACGTGCCGTTGTGGACCGCCCGTGCCTACGTGTAATGTAGTGTAACGTAGAGCGACGTAGAACGTACTGCTGGCTTTTTGCCAGCAGTAAACGGTTCAATCGGTAGACTCGTCCAAAGCAGCGCCCGCCCCAGCCGTTCGCTCGTCCACTGCCGCAGTGCAGCGAAGAAATAAAGCCCCATTTCAGGGTTTCCCCACCATTTCGCCCGGTTTTTTCAATATTTTTGCATGACTGGGCAAGTTTGCTCTTTTTGAAGTGTACATGCAGTTGCCGTGCCAACTACCTTTAACGTCCTTTATGCCCTACCAGTCGGATCGCCCGGCTGACGCCGAGCCCTCCTCCTTCTCTTTAGCCCGGCTTCGCCAGGCGCACTCATGGAAACCAAACTTGTTCATTCACTCAGCTGCTAATGTTTTATCGAGTCGTCATAGACAGAGTAACCCAGCGGATTCTGCACTCCTGAGTCCACGCTTATATTTGCAGGAGGAGGTGAAAAGCCTGTACTATACATAGAACTATAGATATAGATAGAAAGTACAGTCGGACAATACAGCGCAATATGAAACGCTCAGTAGATGAACGAATTCCGTTCCCATTAAATGCATCGAAATGCCCACCGGTGAGTGCTCATGCTCATCTTTTCCATTACCATGCAATCCGCTCGCTGAAGTCCCATAAATGATTGCAAGTGCTAATATTTTGGCAATGTTATACATTGTTCATACTCCCTTATTGAGCAATTCCCATCAGTAATTGAAAGGTAAAAGTAAAAAAATGTCTGTGAATGTGTCGCATTACTGAAACTTTTCGATTTTGATTTTCCCTGAGTTTCCTGTTTCGGGCAATCTACATAACCCTTCCCCGCTCGACATCATTACATGCAAATAACGTATTAAGTGTTAAAGTTCTAGCCCTTCGACTGGACAACAACGGCAACGTTTCTCATAGGCCCTTA